ATTATGCTAATTCATTCCTAATACAATACATCTTCTGTTGTGTAATATTACGGCTCCCTGGTGATAATTTACGTGCTGGGGTATTTTTTATTCTTTGAAAGGTTGGGATATTTTCTTATATATGGCAAAAGTTGGGGCATTTTTTTATTCTCCCAAAGATTAAATATCAAAAAGGTTTAATTAACTTCATTTTTACCTCAGGAACTCTATTCATGACATCAAGATCATAGGGCATCAATAATACTGATAACGACGTATTCCTAGCGTTAGTATACATAGCTGTTCGTGCTCGACTAGTCGTTATCTCCTCGCTTATGCTCATCCAGAATCATCCTGTACTCCATTGAGCAATTCTCATTGTTTCGAGGTAAGTATCGTTAGTACGGTATGTATGTTTCCTCCTCGGGCACTCAGGTGAAGTATCGTGAAGAATGTATTCATTTTAGAAAAGTGTGTGGGACACATGGCTGTTAACGTAATGTATACGGTTGCCAAATGGGGGCAAATAGCACTCCTCTTTATGAATAGTACTAATATAATCCTTGGTTTGTAAATCAATTTATTTCAATAAGAAAACCACTGTTGCTTGCACATTGCAAGACGTGCATTTTGACGGGGGAGACGACACTAGCAAACTAGCGACTAGCAGTGTGCTTATGGAGTCACTGTTCTCTTCGGTTTGCCTTGTTATCTACCGGACGACCACGCTTTCATGACGATAAATTCTCCAGCACATATCTTATTGTACAATGCTTGGGTTGGCGAGCGCCCGTCACAAAATTCTATTCTTGCGACCACTTTCTCGTTGTATATTTCTTTTCTAGTAGTCAACTGGTTGTCTCTCAAGTAGGCCAGGGTATGAGCAGCTTCAGTACCACCTTTCACCACGTCTGCATCGATTATTTTTCTTCTCCAGTCAATCGTCGAGCAGTATATATATGTAAACTTGCCGGAGATGAAATGTTCTTCTGTTTAACTGTCTTTCTGATCGTCCATTGTCCCATTTTCTTATAGAAGTTTGCTTTGTTGGAAAACGGAAAACGACTCTCTATCTGTCTTTTGTGACTTTTGTTTGTCAACTCTAAATAATCGGGATATTGCCCGCCATAATAGCACTTGAAGGTGAGTTTTCTGTCGTCGATGTGCTAAAATAATAGTCTGTGCACGATAGTGCTTCTTGATTGCAGTGATGAGAGCTTGTCTTTCAGCGAAAGCCTTTTCCGTTAATGAAGCCGGGGACTGGTATTTGATCAGAATGGTTTGGAGATGAAAGCTGTTTCAAGGATTATCCGTAACAGGGTGAGTGACTGATCCATGGCTGGAGTCGCGGTCTAATGTGTTTGCAGAATGGGCGGAACTGCTTCGGAATCAGCCAAAAGTTAATTTTCCCTCGCGCGCAGTGCAAAATAAGCGCTTTCTCAGCGCACAGGAAGTCACTTTCTAGAGTGAGAGTGTGCGCTATGAGCAGCAGCAGTCGGTTTATTCCATACCCCGTTGGAAATCTATCTCAGGTACCAGGGGCTTGCGAATTGCGTGTACGCCTCATATTGCGCCTAGGTAGATTAATACGCCGTCTCGCTAGATTTGACGAAGCTTAGCAAAGCGGACTTCCGACCAGGGCGTTGTCTCACAAATGATTTGAGCGGCAGAGAACAATTCATCACCTCAATTTCTGCTGATAGCAGCCCCAGTATTCTCCATGATAAACATGTTGCGACTTTCAACCGAGTGACTTTCTATCGTAAGATTGACCGCCTTTACTAGTAAGGAGCGCTGCGGTGGATAAATCTGTCTCTTGTCTGAAGAATCTAGAAGCCAAGTATGTTATCGTTGTCAGCAACGGGATGCTGTATAACGTCTAGACGGTCTACGCAGGTAACAATACCGGTATAATTGGATGCCATCTTTGAAGGACCAAAACCTAATATATAAAAGTCATACTGATGGACTGCCAGCACGCGGCCGAGAACAGCAGGTGGGCCAGGGAAGCCATTGCGAGCGGCAAAACTATATTTATTAAAACATTCGTATATATAAGATTGTATATTCAGATATGATATGACGGGCACTCACACCAATACATAGCGCCTCCTGAGCAATTTATGTTTTCACTTCCGTTAGCGCCATCGAAGTGGTATCATGTACCTCATACAGATTGTTATGCTTCATTTGTCCTGTCATCGTGAGGCACTAATTCACACTTTGTGTTCCGCGGATCAATGCTGTGATACAACATTGTGGCGAAGGGTGCAACCGCGCACTTTGATAAAGCGGTGTCTGACGTATCAAACGCCTAGCTTTTACAAGATGTCAGCAGCGCATTAAATGTTTTTCGGGGCCCGTGGGTTGAGCATATAACCTTAACGATTAGCGATGTCACCTAAGAGACAAGCGATAGATCATAGTCGGGAGACGCGAAAGCACATCCGCCACAAATTAGGCCGACCCGGCTCGTACCTTATCTCAACGGCATTTTCGGGATGCCTTCACAAAGATAGTTGGGCTAATTCTCGGTAAAAGTTCTGGCAACGACTTCGCTGTGTACATCGACGCATGGTTGTATTGAGCACAAATCGCTTTGGTTAAAGCAAGTGCATTCTTCATTGCACTAGGCCGTGATCATTGACAGGTTGATTGGTTGCAGAAACTTTCAGCTGGCAACTCCCATACGCAATCATACACTCAGATTCCGGGTGTGCATGAAAGTAACTTCTTCAGCCTACAAGGAAGCCACTTCTACCGCGATCAAAAAACTCTTTACGTCATTTAAATAACATTTAGCATTCCTTATAAGTAATGTGGCGAAGGTCGTGCCATACCAATATAATTGTGCAAAGATTCGACCAGTTCAGCCTACATTTCAAACGCTTTTAGCAGAGATACTAGCCAATCAACAATGACCTTTTCTCGCAAGATCTGACCGCATGTCATTCTTCCCAATAAAGCAATTCAATTTTTCGACGCTGAAAATACACTTGTCCATATTAGTGAATAGATTTATCTTTTATTTGAGCGCATACACTCGTAAGTAATCAATGTGGTGTTCGACATTCGGATTTTCGTGCTTCGCGCGACTTTGCATGAATATAATGCCGAAAACAGGTTAAGCCTTGTCGCGATGTAGCCCAGACAGCTTATTTACCAAACGATTAAATGCCGTGGGTGCGTCAGGCAACACCACCACCGTAACCAGTAACTCCCACAGCAATGTGCTCGACGTGTTCACCGCAGTGACAGGGCATCACTTTCTATCACAAGCAGGACGCTGAACAATACGCAATCAATCATGCCGTTCTGCCGCATTACATTTCCAAGAATCGACGTTTGCACTCCATTAATTTTCTTTCTGCCCACAATCTTCTGGGATGAGGGATATTGGAGCTGTGGCCGCATTGACCTTTAATACGCTAGTAAAGATTTGCCGCACGCCATTAGCTACTAGGATACAGAAAAACAGAGCCGACTATCAGGTTTTCTTTATCTCATTAAATCCCGATTCATGCTTTGCACAAAACAAAGCGTCAGGGGCTTTGCATCGTTGCCTTAGTAAGGATCATCGTTGGGTGATGCAATTTTGGTGAGTAAGTCAATTTCGTAATGCATTACCCTATTTGAATTAGCTCGTTTGCGGGATCGAACGAACAGCTGTGCGCTACTGTCTTCTGACCCAGGGCCGGTAGGGAGTGAAAGTATAAGTTTTGCAAATTCCTCATTCAGTTTGGCGAAATTCAGGGGCAAATTTAAATAGGGAGACAAGGACTAAGCCATGAAGATAAGACTATGGCTCATTTTCTATACGGCCTGCCGTACCTCATTTTCGATGAGCCAGCCTCTCCTCCCACAAGGTCTCTTGCAGCTAGAAAGATCCGTGGGACCAAGAGGGACAAGGTGCGCATTGCTGTCGGTCTGTACTGCATTATGTCAGGTATCGAGAAGATGGACTCAGCCGTCATTCAGTAAGAATACTCGCTGTTTTCGGGAGTGAACAAAAAGCATTTTGATGTCTTGCTCTACGAGAACAAGAAGTCATGGAATGGCTTTGGCGCTTCAACCTCAAGATGCAGCCGAAAAGTGCTGCTGTTCGTGGACAACGTGTCGTCTTATGATAGCAACGAGCTCGTCAGCGTCCGTGTATGCTTTATCTCGCCCAACTCGACATTTTTCTTGTAGCTACTGGACGCGAATATCACCAATAGGTTCAACTGTTAGTGTAAGAGCTTTTTGAACACTGAAAATTGACCAGTTCGATGCTGACGGCAACGTCTTGCGCATGGACGTTCCGACAGCGATCAAATTTTTCGTTAAAACATGGGATGGTATATGTAATACGAGTTGCCCGTTCGTGTACAAATCTTACCGAAACAGGCTTAAAGCAGTTGCATCAGTTGACACGCTTCACTGCTTGCTGCTCGCTTTCTGCCAGACGTTGATTTACCTGAAAGGGGAGGAAAGGTGAAGTGACATTTATTATATCTAGTATGCCTTAAACTGCCCTGTACTTCTAACTGCCGCGAGGTTCTGATATGACAGAATTGAGGGATGTATACTATACATGGTATATAGTAATGTTAACCCACACAAGTAAGTGATCTACACGACATGTGTAACGGGCGTGACCCAGAACACCACCCACCCACTCAAAAGTGGGTTTGCCCATAATCCCTTCAAATTTTTTCTAGCTCTGAGATTCGATTATTCGTGATTTCACACGTAATGAAACCCATTGAAGACGACCTGCATCGACGACGAGAGCTGAGCAAGATCGCACCTATATTCATGGATGCAAATGAGCTTGAATAATTATTCGATTCTACGTCGAACAGCGCTTTTGCACGATGAGTAAGAACAAAGCATCAAATGCCCAGCGTGGGCATATGATGATCGTGATGAAGAACCCATTGACGAGCTCAGTCGTCCAGCGCATTTGCGTTATAGTGACATTGATCGTCTTGACGAGTTTCGCGCTCGATGAAGTGGCATCATTTCTGAGCTTAACGAACTCATAAGTCAAATGGAAGCTCGAGTGATGACTCGAACCGCATATTCCGTGCCACCGGGCCCATTACACGTGCTGAAGAGAATCATGAAGTCTCGTGTACATACCGTACTCCAGCCAGGAATCCAATCTGGATTCCGTCCAGACAATCGACACTTGATTCGATTCTGAGCATATGTTTGTGCAACAAAATCCGTGGATATCCACCGTTTGCAAAAAGCGCATTTTTTGCTGCAAACTTGTTAAAGGTACGCGAGGAGCTGTTTCGGTTTGCCCATTGGGACAGCGCAGAATCGGTACACTCCGATATTGATGATGCACGCGAAGTACTAGCGGTCATCAGTCGAATTTACGACGAGAGAGAGAGAGGGGACAAATCACCTAAGCGAAGTCCGTCTTTGGACCCGCATCAAACACGAAGACAATATCGGGACAATTGCGAAGGATACGACTACGAAGCTTCCGCGTATTTTCGCTCACAAGATGACCCAGCCGTTTCACCAGGAGATCCTTTCGACAGCGGACAATTATCTACGCCACCACATTCTCGACGTGGTAGTATCAGTTACCCTGTCGATCAAGAAGGGGGGTCTGAAAAGGTATTCCTTTAATTCTTCTGTGACTGCTCCACAGTCATCGTCTTATTTGAAATTGCGATTGACAAACGTAGAGAAACTCCTTACGCTGGTGAACCAGTAGATGATCGAGGTGATCGATCGAGTGTCGATGGCGCGACAACACGTGAGGGATACTCGACGCGTCGTTTACGAAGTGCTTGATCTCGCATGGCGTCATGGAAACTCGCCTGGGTATGCAATAAAAAATTGAATGTGGCGATCGTTGCAGGCTCTACAAGTCCTCTTACCCGCTGCTACCGCTGATGATACAGAGCGTCCTGCAAAGCGACCTCATTCTGGTTCGCGTGGGTATACTTCTGCTCGTCTATGTTATTCGTATGACTTCTTGTCTGGTTCTCGTCGAGATTCCGACTATCGCAACCGCTCGTCGCGTTATGAAGAACACGATTATCCTCGTCTTCGCGATAATGATGCTGAGGCGACGTCGCTAAGGTATTCAACTTTTGAATTCGTGCCGAAGCTGTGGCATATTCGTATGACCCTGCGCTACATCCAAGTTAGAAATCGCACCGTCGCGATGATAGGGTTTGAGAACTCTTACGAGAAACTTTGGACGTGTCCTTAGCCAGCTTTGCAGGTCGATATTGTTAGCATTTCCGTGGCATGACACTGCCCGGAATGGACCGATGAAGCGAGTTTATAACTTCAAATTCTCAAGCTTGAAGCTGCATCATCTGATATTAGGAACCGTCAAACGACCAATGGTCTTGCCGAACCCGTATAGTACTCATGAAGCGAGATGGTGTTGTTGAGGAAGAGGGTAATTTCCGCATAGGCAACCAGCTCGTGCCTCTGGCTGTAGGTCAAGCTTGTGCGTGCCATTATGCAAATGAAAGTTACTTGCATTTTCGATACATGCTCCTAAAAAATATTTCGGGGTACATTTATCCATTGGTTGTAGGGCCATGTGCTCGTATATCGTCCACTTAGGGTTTAGCAGCTTGGATTTTGAATGAACTATTTTTGCTATGGTGTCTTGGTTCTTATATAAAATTTGCTATTACATGGTGGGTCCTTATCATAAGCAAAGTCTATTCATATTATATTCTTATCATGTCAAACGTATTCGTCATTAAGTCTTGGTCACAACAATGGTGCGGAATAGCGATTTCTTATGATCTCTTACGACCATGGAGAGTGTCGATGTTGGCTCGAAGGTATACATACTTCTAACCTTATTTTCTTTTCTTTTAAGAAGTTATTCAAATGAGACATTGTGACAAGAATTTTCTAATATGAAGTTGGTGCTTGAGCAATTCCTAATTAGTTAAGAAGAAGTTATGGATCTGCATGTATAATGCATTTCAATATGTCCTTAAGCATCGCCATCATTGGACTGGCAACCTGTTTCCTTTCTGAATCAAATTATTCTTGAATCTCTGCCTTGAATAACTTTTTCCAGATACGGATGGTGCGTGCTGTTAGTATTTATTCGAGCTGGTGTGACGAATAAATTTGGAATCCACGTGCTGACGAAATGTCGAATTCAGAAGTGTCAAGATCAGACACACTCAATTGCGCATCGTACCTGCTGTTTAATAAGTTAACCACATGTGATCGAGAGTTGACCCCATAGACAAGGTATTACATTCCTAATGGCTAGTAGGTCAGTGACACCAGGCACGATTCTGCCTCTATTGCAGTGGCTCTGTCTGGTCAACAATCACGTTGTCGTAAACCCAAACATTATTGAAGAAAGTGATAACTTCATTCTGTCGTTTCAGAAAGTATTTCATGCATCGCAGTACTTTGCTTCAAGAACGCTTCAGCAGCAATCGAGCACTCATTATTCAACACGGAAAGGTCAAACAAATGCCTAGAATGCAAAGAAAGTCGTTTTGGGCACTACCATGAAATATAATCCAGCACATGCTACATAACAAGGACTAAGGTATTTGTGGTCACCATCGCAGCGCAACGTTTCGAGCGCTTCCATAAGCTGAACATACGGTAATATACCACAGTGACGGCTTTTAAGGATCCCTGCAACACGTAGATCTAAGGCAACTTGAATTGTTCAACGCATCGACATCAGACGCCGTTTCGAGGCATCTGTCGCATCCATAGTGACAAGCAGGCGTTCGCGCTCATGTTGACGTTGAGTCCCTTTGCGCGAACTCAACAGGGATTGCGTACGAACGCTTACAAGCTCCAGTCTCGAGCACAATGCGCAAGCTATAAGCAACACTGCTTCAACACCTCGGTGACCTGACTGACTAGCGTTCAAAAACAAGACGTAACCCGAGTCTGGCATAGCCACAACAAAGATTTTAACTGACCTGTATGCCGGAAATATTCGTGGACCCACTGTCGTAGCCGCTCAGAAAAGCCAGCATAATGTTTCAGAGGGATTTTAGCTATAGACTCAATTAAAGACATCATTCAGCTTCAACTTGTCATGCATTTGCACAGGTTCACCCCACTAAGACACAAAATGATGCAAGGTACTTGGGCGGCTGGATCTTGGGCTCCAGTAAATGGTGAATGTACTCTTATGTAAACATCATTCTGTACTGCCACCGAGACACCATACATCCCGCGCGTGATGCCGTTATGCAAGTAGCTTTGTCTTGCAATAACTACAGTCGCGGCACGGTCGATAAATGCTAAACCGACTTTATGGCGTCAACAATGCTCCGTGGTCAAGCGTCGCTGGCTATAATACGTTGACTTCGATACTCCCGGATACGGTGCAGTTTTGCTTGGCGTAGCAAGATCACGCGAGGAGCCACGGAGCCTTTCGTCGCTGCAAAGATATTGCTCCTTTTCGTGCCCTAAGATGCTTACGTACAGCCTGTCTGCAGACAACTACGATTAGAGACATCAGCATTAAATCTGCTTTAAAGCCGACAGTACGTCTCATTCCTACATTTGCATTACTGACAATACCTGCAACACCACACCACTTTCAAGCCCAACTCAGCAGCATGAGTGTCTGTCCACAGCACAATGACAAGAAGAACCATCAACACCTCCACAGCCTTCAAGTCACGGCTACAATCTTAACCCATTTAGCGACTTACACCACTCCAACTATCACTGGACGACACAAATTCAACCAAGCACGCCTACCCAGCATTGACTCGCTCTTTACCATCAATGCAGCACATAATGGCGCTTTGGTACTACCTCCACTACGCCATGCTTCTAAACACTTCAACCTTGGCTCTTCCAATACCGCGCTTATGTCTCCCGCTGCCACTCTAATTAAACCCGTCGTAGGGTCTCCAACTAGCCCTGGAATGACACCAGTAGGCCTAAATGACTCTATTGCAGCTACCAATTCTAACACTAGCGCAAAAAGCCGTCGCATGCTGTCACTTAGTGATCTGCTGTCCATTGAAGCAACATCTAATCTAACAACAAAACGTCGCAAGAATATCCATCACCGGCGCCAATGCGGAATTACTGAATGTCAAAAGTACGCGCTGACCGGAGGATTTTGCATTCGACATGGCGGCGGCAAGCGTTGCAACTACGATGGTTGCCAGACTGTCGCACAAAGCGGCGGGCGGTGCAAAGCTCATGGCGGTGGAAGCAAGTGCAAAGTAATGGGCTGCAGCAGTGTTGCGCGACGAAAAGGATTCTGCATGACCCACGGTGGGCGGCAACAATGTAAAATTCATGATTGCACGAAATGCGCACATGGCGGTGGCTTCTGCATCTCGCACGGTGGTGGCAAGCGGTGTTCTTCTAAAGCTTGTAATAAGAGCGCACAGGCTGGAGGATTCTGTTACAGCCATGGAGGAGGGAAGCGTTGTGCGGCGCCTGAGTGCTTTCAAGCAGCACGTAAGGGAGGACTTTGCATTCGACACCGCAAGCTGGCATCAGGCTTGTAAGAAGATAAGTAGTCCTCAACAACCATCTTTCACGGAGTAGTTTTTCGTATCAAGCATATTCACATATTGCATCAAGTACGCCTTACTTACAATAAAAAATGCGAATAATAATAAAGGTCAATACTTACTGAATATATAGAATAAAGATTAACGATGACAACGAGCGCAGCGTTATGCTGCCGAAGACGTTGCTGGATGCTATTTCAGTCATTTCCTTCGCCACATTTCATCCATTCTTTGGGAGCTTCATGAAATCATCAGGTGTGATTTTATGTTTGTTTAAAATAATTGTTGTAATCAAAAGCCTTCACCACAACAAAATGAAATTAGATGTTTTGTTGATGACAAACTTCTGCTTGTGGAAACTTCTTCACCGTCTACAAAAAGAAGCCAACAGGCCTTAACAATGGGATCCTGTGCTAAATGCAGCTCCCCTACACTATGATCGCGGGAGAAGCTTCTGGAGAAATAGAACACTCCCACAGCAGACATGTTACGACTGTGGTGTGGAATAGGTCCAGCGTTCACTAAACTCGCTGTCCGCAAGTACAATATATAATGCGAATACTTGATACTTCGTCCAACTCCGCAATCTACAATCGAAATTTCATTTGCTACATGAGCAATCAGATAGACCAATTTAGACAAAGCGCAAAGTAGCACTGGATTGTTTATGCTTGTAGCAAAAAAGAAGCTTGCACATATCCCTGCTTTTGACCAATAGGCTTCCGCTTCATTTTATCTAAATGAGTTCCCCCAGGAAATCGAAGAAAGGCGATCCGAGCATGAAAAAGAGTCTTACATCCACAACGATCAAGGAGTTGTGGCGCATTTCCATCTTGCCAGTAAGAAGATATGTTGTAGTTAGTTGAAGTAAAACTCTTATTTTCCTGCCGCACCGGTAGATGCAAGCTCGTACTTCTCGACAAATTTTTGAGCTCGGTGAAGTCATTTCACATGCAGCAAGATGTTTCTTAATAGTTTTGAGGAGTGTGTCCTGCTGCTTTTCTATTCATTTCACTATGGGGAAGTTAGCACTTCAGGAGTCTGTCGTTAGCTTTACCTGGAGTCAACCTGTCCACTCTTTCATCGCATATCTGTTCGAGCCGCTTCCTGACCAACTTCACTCCGCAACCTTAGCACGCCCACTAATAATCGTCGCAAGACGTAACACCCCTAGCGTTCCAACGAAATTTCAAGTCATACTTGGACCAAAAGGAGATGGTGCATGTAGATTCTAGTGTTTATGCCAGAAGTGATGAGGCTATAAATTTTAAGGAGAACCCTATTGATAGCAAGTCGTTCTGTATTGAGCAAATGACACCATCGTTCGAGCATTTGGTGGATGCGGCGCAATGTTATATTAGCCAGAAGTAAATATGCCGAAGTCATTAAGGCTGAATGTTTCGACTCCTCGACAATTTCACCGTAAGACAGAGTCTAATAAATTGCGATTGCTGTCAAATTCTTTCTACCAAGTTCGCCACCCTCTTTCAGCGTGACAAAACACCCCGCTACTGAAACTTCCTTTTTAACCTTGCAATGCCAAGAAAATAAATTGGTGGCAAGCGACTTTTCAGTATCGTTGACTTCTACCGACGCATTAAATATGTACCTGAACTGGCGGCGGATCGATGCTATGCTTCGACAAATCGGCTTCGTTTTTATTGGAGTTTAGGTAGACAAACAACGGAGCATGTCATCATGGACTCGTGTATTTTTGTATCATTATCAGATACCGGAAATTTTCGCGTCCAGTAATTGATCCTTATACTTACTTGTCCACCCAGCACTGTTTTTACTGGTCAATCGTCTTGCAAAGAGCGCATCGGCAAATATAAATCTAAGCGAATGATCGAAACAACAGAATCGTTCAAGCAGTTGAGAGACGCGACAACACCGCTAGGGTTAGCATCCTCTTTCTTTTCCATCATTGTTCTTCAATCAGTTGTATCCTTCATAATTTAATGCAGTCTATAATTTTCTTTCAGTGTGATTGTTTGAGACATTTATTGGTCAAGAGCTTTCAAAATTGATAATCCTAGAATGTAGTGCAGAAATTACATTACATCAGACTGAGGGTCCCAAATTCAACGTTCCTTCCTTCGTATATGTGGAACTTCATGGCGACCACGCTTGGCGTTCTGGGCTTTAACCAAGACATGAATGCATCCACTTCATCGCCTAGTAACCAAGAAAGCGTCAACGAACGACTAACCTTTAGATTACGCAGCCACGGGTGGATCGACAGGTTTGTACGAATGCGAACATAAATCATCGTGGGTCTTATAATCATGATATTCTTATATGTAGAGAGAACGAGCTGTTTCTGTCGATTCCAAAATGCGCTACAGCTTGCTATAATATCATTTTCTTTCCCGGAGATGTTCAAGACTTTGAGACAGCAATGATGACCGGCCCTTTTGCCCATTATTGTGAGTACTCCTACGAGGCAGTGGCTGAGCTACTAAGTAAAAAGTTTGGAGAAGCGTGCAACGTTTGGATTATACGACCTCATCGCTTCAAACACGGTGCCTATAGTAGCTACGATAATTTCGTGAGGACGAACGAATATGGGGCGGCGATACAATGTACGCATAGTATTTTTGGGCGAAGGTATAGACTTCATTATCTCCCTTTGTTGATGCAGATGATCCGACAGCTTCAGCGACAAAGCACTTGGCATTTCTTATGCAGAATACACAAGCGGCTTTAAGACAACAAGGAGGTACAGATTTGATTGGCTTTGAAAGGAAGGTTGGATTTGTAATACCTATACTTTATCAAGTGAATGTGTCAACTGTGCTTCCAATGCATTTACTGGGGTTCAGCAAGGGTGGCGTTGTATTAAACCAACTTGTGACGGAGTTAGTGCGGTACTCATTTAATAAGAAGCGCTCAAACAACGGTCAAATTCGACAGGGATCTGTGTACGCCAGTACGCGACAATTTTTTGCAGCTGTATGTTCGATTCATGTCAAGCCCAAAGACATCTGAATTGTATTTGCTTGCTATCTATACTGATTGTCTCGATGCTGGTTGGTTCCTTTGCCCAGGTTGACTCTATTCATTGGCTGGACTCGGGTAATGGGTCTCTTGAAGGTGCTTTCCCTACGGATAAATCAGCTTTAGCAGTGCTCGCTCGATATGAGTATGCATACGTAAAGTAGTTGATACCGGCATATTGAGATGCTAACGTGATTTTGCATTTGTCATTGCTACAGACAACTCAATCTTTTTGTGCATGTGACTCCATATCAATATGAAGCCAGGCAGCGACCATGGATTAAGAATGAAGTGAACAGTTTTATTAACTGCGTAAAGCTCCTTGGGGCTAATATCCAACTCATTATGTACGTACCTTTTGTGCTAGAAGCGACTTGATAGCTGTTTCACTCGACTCTGTTTCAGCTACAATGCAGGCGACGAGTGCTCACTAGCATCTCATTTTCACATTTTGCATGATTTTGAGGCCGATCGGTTATTTAAGCTAAAAGGCGACGGAATCAAAGCTTCACCAGAACTTGCTGTTCAACCCGTTCGAATTCGAGTTTGTACCTCAGCGACTTCAATGAAGAGTCATAAGAGCTGATATCACTGGTATTTAAAAACACTCGGTATGGCAAAGGAAACTCATCGTGAAAGTAAGGAAGTGCTACCATATTCTGGCGCCATTTATCATGATCACTCAGCGCGGCGCTTCGAACAACATCTTTCTTTGTGAGAGGGTGATGAAATATTGCCAGGGTGTACCACCTGCAACGTCGTGTCGATTGTCAATCATGGTTTTGTCGAAGCGGTTTGAAAATGTGGGGGAGGCATGTCTGAGCAAAACGTGAATTTAAAAGTGAGACCTTTCTCACTTGAGTTAACAACACTACACTCGTCCGTGCTTCTATAGCTACGTGCTAACTACGAAAAATATTTGATGCATCAGTTATTTCTTCAATCGCGTGAATTCTTATTCTTCGCTGGCATTATAATGGAAGAATGCAATGCATAAAAGATAAGGTAGCAGATTCTTCTCCTTCAGCCAAAAATGGATATTCTTTTAAAATACCGCACTATAATGCCAGTTATTTAACTGACTTTCCGAGTGAAGGATTACAAGATCCTTAGCAGAGATAGAGTGGGTCAGCCATAACAATTCACTTCAGCAAGATTATTAAGAGGAGGAAAGAGTCGCTAGTTAAATTGAGTAGATTTGCTCAAAACATAATTTTAAATGTATTCTCCATAACAATAGCAATAGAAAGTCTCGCAATTTTGTAGCTTTTTTTTTGGGGGGTTCTTGGGGCAAAGCGTTCGGTGATGAATTAACTGTTTAGCCGCTGCAACTACAGAAGCATTGAATTGCTTGCATCAAGTCGACCATCGTGTTAAATTGTTTTGCTTCAGTGCATTTCTGTGCAGGTAGTTGTGCAAGGTCAGGCATTAAGTCAGACCTTGATCTGTAGTATCTGTTATCATGTTTCTTTGTCCTAACGTTTCCATGTTTATACCAAATTACTCTGCCGTAATGATGTACATTTGGTCTGTAAACCATTAAAATGGATGAGGGGACGTAAGCACTGTCGAGGCACCCACAGTGAGAACTGAACACAGCGTAACAAAACTTTGTTCTTTGAGAGATTTGAGACTCCAATCTTGGAAATTGAATCCACCACTCCTTAACCACTAGGCGAATTCAAGCAGATCTTTCGAGCAGATACATGTGAATCTTTTCATGTAAATTAGACATAATCCTGGAATGTCGTTCTTCAACAGTATTAAGCAGTGTCATATTAACGCTTTCACTCACCGTTGATACCCGTGGCTCCTTAGCATTGGCTTGCTTATAAATGCAAGCATTTGGAGTCCTAGTGCCATCTTTAGCATATCTGCATATTGACGCTTCTTGTCGGTGTAGTCGACCTTCTAATTTTTTCTTGCACATCCTTCCGAACGAAGTGGCGTCTGCTCGATCATAAGTATTTTAGCTGACCTGACATGGTCATTTCCAATACCCAAAATGAACGCCGTCATGCCCTCAAACTTCAACTTGAAGGCTACTATGGACCAACTGGATGTCAATACTGCTTTTTTCAACATTGTGCTAACAGACAACGTTTCTATGTTCCACTGGATGTCAACAATACTCAAGAATATGTATGTCAGCTGAAAAGATCCATCTACGGATTGAATCAAGCAGCAAATTCCTGAGACATACCTTATATTGTGTCCTTGTGAAAAATGGCGTCAAGGGACCATTGCGTTTATGTGAAGCGTTATTTGGAAGGTTTTATCTATGCTCGATAATGTGTAAATGTCTTGATTGTCGCAGCAAATACAAGCAGAGAGGATAACCAGGTCAAAGTGCGAAATATGCACCCAATAATCAAGCAGGAAACAGAAACTTGTGTGCTGGAAGTTTGAAGGGTTTGCGGACAGTCGCTGCATATCCCTCGCGTTTGATAACAAAGACGACACATGTTCTGGATCGTGTGCACCACATATCATTGCAGACTTCATCAAAATCCTTAATTTTGTGGATTTTTAAAAATACCATTTCCCCAATCAAAAGCAAGAATGATGTTGCTGGTAAGTTCAAGAAATTCGAAATTCTCTGCAAAAAATGAATTCGTGATCGTATCAAATGTTGATATTCGACAGCGGCAAAGAATCCGTGAACAAAACGGTTTTAAACATAAGTCAGCGGAACAGGATCGTCCTTGTGATCCGTTTTAAACATAAGTCAGCGGAACAGGATCGTCCTTGTGATCCATGTAGCATTAGCAAAAAAAGGTGGCGGAGTGCATGAACAGGACTATCATGGAGAAAGCCCGCAATTTTCTTTACTAAAAAAACTAACTATTCGACTGAATGGTGCGCGGGAGTGGTGGACATACCAGCTATATTGATCAATAGTTCTAAGATTAAAACACATCCCGACGACACGATATATAAGCTGGAAAATGCCAAGGATAAAGTGTTTCACTCTGTGATGTTGGATGAGCGTGAAATAGGCGACATTTATTTCACGCAAGCGCTACCGCCAGAAGCGACAATAGAAGTTCTGAAGGACAATGATGATATCTATTTTCAAAACCAAGTGGATCAACAACCAATTCGTGATAAACCTTTGAAAACCATCGAAGAACTAGTCGGAGACGTCGAAATGGGCGATGCCGTGCATACATCAAGTGTCGGCATGCAGCAGCTGATGCCTTCGGAGCGTTCTGTTAAAAAAACCATCGGAGCTAGCAGAGTATCGCTCATCTCTCTATAAACGACAAGAAGATCATTTGAAATTTCAGTCTGTAGAGAAGAATACAAAACGAAGAAATGAGCAGATGTTGATGCGAAGGAACGACCCAAATGATAAAGAGACAAAAAGAAAGTGGTGGTCCACCGACATCGAAACGTGCTAGGAACAACGAAAAAGTCGTATTGTTGATGCTGTTCTCGCGTACGTAATGAGAAGTGAGAATGATACGAGCTTGCCGACTGCATTATGGCGGGCGATGAAACAGCAAAGTTGCATGAAGCTGTTGAAGCTGAGCTTTGATCCCATGAGCAGAACCAAACATGGATTATCAAGGAAAAAAGTGGAAAAATCGCACAATTGGATTACGATGGGTCTATGCCAAGAAGCGTGATCAAAACGATTCTGTTGTGCCGTACAAAGCTCGACCTATCGCGAAAAGTTTCAAACAGAAGTATAGAATCGAATTTATCTAGACTTATTCCTCGGTAACATGAACTCAATTCGGATGATCCTCTGTGCGTCAAATGTCATTCCAAAACACGAACTGTATCACGCCTTTCATGGAGAGCGAAACCTGTAGCTATCATGGTATAACTTTTATGCTTTATAATTAATTATGTTTAAGGATATTCTTAAAATTGTTGGTATGTTGCTCAGTGATGTTCAAAATGGAATTCCGAACACAAAAAATTGTTTTTGGCGGTCATTTTTAATACTTTTTGCGGTTGACCGGATCGTTATTATCTTTGATGGAGAATCGTACACAACTGGATTTTGTGGATAAATTTCATTCCGAGCGAAAATTAATCAAACTCATCATTGGGACAAGAGAAGCCAGGAGAAATGCACTGACGTCCAACGAGGATTTAGAGACGGCGCGAGTTTATAGTTATAGTATCCTGATCAACCGTAGCAATTGGATTTGTTTGTGGGAGAGCATTTACGCGATTACTTACGAACCCGTGGCGCTGGTGACATAAAAATACATAGAATATATTCGATACCGGAAAATTTTCGCATTGATCTATTTTCTGTCCAAATGTGGCAACCTTTGCGAAGCGCCCACTTCCACGTTCGACGCTCTCCGTGAGAAATGGCGTCAACAATTGGAGCTGTCTTGAGCTCAAGTTTCGAAGGCTTTTAAGGAAGGTCGATTTCTGCGACACCGAGTTTCAATCAATAGTTCCTGTTGCGTTTGGCAAAGTGATGTCTAGAATTCAAGAAGCCCTCTTGGATGTCACCTGAAATTCGTCAATGTATATTTCACCATCATTGAACGCCATTGCCCTCAATTCGAGTGCTTGGTACTCTGACTTAACGTAATTATCCCAGTCTTCTAATGAGGCTCCGCAAACCTCAAATCAGGATCTGAGTCATTTTGTTCCGTTGAGAATAAAGCAACTTCGACATTAATCCAGCTTCTTAATGATAAGTTTATCTGCTTGATCGTGATTTTCCAAGCAGATGGTGCAACTGGCGACGAATATCTGGAATCTCTGTCCCGAAAAAGGCAACGCTCATGATTCTATGTCCTCTCTTAGGTATGTAAATACATTGAGGTTTGACCTTCTAATTAATAGTTGAACTGGTGTGTCGATTAAAAGTAAATTGTGAAGCGAGAATATTGATTAAACTCTGTGCTACCTCTAAGCCTACCCTTCTAGACCTTCAAGAAGCCTATTGGTGGAGTCATATTTTGACGTCATGCCCTTACCGGTATTAATCGTAAACATAGCCCGAAATCAGTCACGCCCCAAAGCATTCAGTGGCGTAATTATTTATGTGCAACTTCAAAAATAATAACGTACCACAGTAATTTACAGTATAGAATACTCAGTTGTATGTGTAGAGCGATAATTTAGCAACCCTCTCCTGAAACCTGGGACAATTTTCACAGGCAGGAAGATGTGGCATGCTTGCTAATCACGAGCAACAATCGCTGCGCTTCGCTGCTGTTGATGATCATGATAAGTGGGAGTCCGTCAAATAGACTAAAAGGGGGTACCGAAGATTTTTATGAAGAGGCAGACGAATGAGGCGGCATAATGGGGCGCGTTCTGCTCCTTCTCTCCTCCTTTTCAGCATGAAAGCAGAAGGGAAGAAAGGAAATTGTGAAGTAAACAACTTTAAATTGTCAGCCAAATGTAAGTACGTACTCTTGGAGAAACTACTAGAGGCAAGGCATAACAACATCTCGTCTTGCGGAATAGGGTCAGTTAATAAGCTTCTCGTTAAGATAGAACTTGTTTGCGGCGAATGAATGAATATTTCTGCAGTAGTTTCTACAACGCATTTTATTTGATATTTCACTCCTCTACCTCTGATCCGTTCTTACCCTTCGCGGAATAGAGAAAAAAGGACCCGTCTTCATCCCCTCTCAATATGTCGCCTATTGTGTTGGAACCGTCATGCATTAACTCCGTGTCCGAGATACCTATCCGTATCACCGTAGAGATGACCGTTTTTGGTCTATCATAATAAAAACAGTAGATAAAGAGACAAGTGAGACCGGAAGCTTGGAATGAAATACTATTTTGTAACGGGGTTTCACGTACCCTAGCATAAAGGGTGTGGCTCACACAAATAAGTGTGACCATACAATGATGTGGCTTCACTTTAACAACAAGTCACTACCTGGCTGGATCTAATCAGGTCTTACTATCTGGAAAGAAAAACTTTTAGAATTTGATAAAGTAACTTGCCGCAAATAAAATTGAGAAAAACAGTTTACATTTTAAACGGAAGAGCTAATTAGCCCTGGATCAAGGTTGTAATTATTCTTGGAAGAAAGAAGGGCGACTTGAGGACTGGAAAACAAATTTGCAACTGAATTAAAGTTTGAGTAAATGTAACAAGTGCTTGATGCAAAACACCCCGATAAATAATGGAAAGAAGTGAAATCTGCTTTGTTCTCAACCGAGCGCGATCCTGGTCAAAGTCTCGTTAGAAGGGTAGGAGAGGTACCTCAAGCCGAGAATCAGACACTTATATCTAGGGCAATGACATTTTATGGTCGAATCTACATTGTCCGTGGTGAATATAGTGTTAGCTTCAGGTTTATATCTCGTTGTGTTCAAAGTGGAAGTACTTGATGAATTTGGCGGATGGATTCAGCTCCTGACCTATGGCAGAATACACGTTAAGCTATAAGTTTCGACCTTTTCATGGATTTCCTTCATGCGTATATTTATATAATTTTGTATTGAAATAAATTGTTGCTGTTAAAATCGTTGACATCTTGACTGAACGGAAAATATTTCAAAGTTGTTTGAAAATTGCTCAGTGAAATTCAAAATGGAAATCTCACAAAAAGTTATTTTGGACAATAAATTCTAGAGCTCTCCGGTCAAATTTTTGATTGCCTGAACTCTAGACACGACTTCACGAATTAACCTCTCAATGAGCGGGAATAAAACAAACACAAAATTGGGGCGAGAGAAGCCTGGAGGAATGCGACGACGTATAACGAGGCCTAAGAGATGGCGCGAGTTGAATGTTATAATGGTCGGTGTAACGATAGCATCATCCACCGTGTAGAGTTTATACTGACGAACTCGCAGCACTGGTGATAGACAAATGCAGAAATTATATTCGACACCAGGAAATTTCCTCCATAGATCTGCTTTTCTATCCAAATAGGTCCATCCTCGCGAGACGCCCACTTCCACCTTTACGTGTGGTATCCGGACCATGACATTCCTACGGGAAAAATGGAGCCAACACCAGGAGCAGGACCAAAGCTACAATCGGGCTCGAATTTTCGGAGACTTCCCACGTAGGCCGATCCACGCGACTCCAAATGCTGATCGAATGTCCCAGTCGCAGTCAACAGAGCAACGTCTAGGAAACGGGAGAAGGTCTCGTGGAGTCCAGTTGGAAGCTCGACGATGTAGATTTTTCCATCTTCAAATGCTATTGCCCTCGATTTAAGTGCTTGATACTTTGACTTGACGTATCTCTTCCTTCCTTTAATGAGGCTTTGCAAACCTCAAACCTGGATACGAGGCATCGCGCTCGGCAGAGAACAAAGCAGCTTCGACTTCTTTCCAATCCAACTTCTCGATGATACGATTGATCTGCTTAGTCGTCATTTTCCGCGTAGATGATGCAACCGGCATGAATTCCCGTCTCAGAAAAATGCAATGCTCATGTTTTATCTTTGGTCTTGTCTCAAGTCTCGAAGTTGTCGTATTTATAAAAATATTATACACCATATAATACTCAGGTATCATTGCTTGTATGTTGTAATCGATAGATCAACAATCCCGCCAGAAAAACCAATATAGGCTCTACTTCACATATTGCTGATAAAAGAATGCCACAAACGTTAAATACGAGGAGCAAGAAATACCAAATATGTTCATTGCACTTGACATTTGCTTTAATAGTCAATTTCAAAGACAGCTTCAAAAAAATTTAAAGTATCAAGACGTGTTCAGTATAAGCAAGTGGGATAGCTTTGAAGGCTTGAGTTGACAGCAAGTGACATAATTGAATGGACAGAGAGACGTCATCCTTCATCTCTATACGTTTCCGACAGACGTCCGAAACATATTCGAACCCACCTCTATCACTAGTTTGATCTTGCCAGTCGATTTGCCACAATCTAGTTCTTGCACTTGCCGCTTTCTATACCCACCACACCATATAAAAGGCTCGAGATCAAGACATGGAACGCTCCACAATAAGGTGAGCTGTTGTGTCTATTTTTCAAAGCTTGTGGTCAAGTGAAGCTATCCGTCAACCACAGCAGCTATGTTGCATAGCCTGATGCTATCGATTTAAGGTGCGCCGCGAAACGCTAGACAAATCATTTTACATGTTACCGGACATTTTCGAGATAGTGTGGAAAGCTCCAAAGCATCGATACATTTTTTGTATGGGCATCTTTCGCAGAGAACTTTTTGATGTGTCAAAGTCTTACTATACTAATAATTTAATTGTGTAATGATGACTATATTTCTTGTCATACATTCTACATCGAGTTGTCCGAAAAAAAAATATTTTATGACCATATAAAACACGTTGCTGACGTTGCACACATGCACGGTCGGATCTTGATTCCATTGATCGTTAGACAGTGGCCAGGCAATCAAGGTGGTGCAATGTCTTGCTCGGGTTCGTCTGGGCTTGTCTCACGTGTTGAATTACTTCATAGAGTTGTCAATGTCACAAGTCATTCCAAAATTGCGCTGGGAAAGTTGTGACATCTCATTTAAATGTTTACGTGAAGCCGCAATCTGATTTCAATAACGCAAAAATGAACTGTGGCAAATCTATAACGTAATTGTTACTTAGGGAAAGTATCACTAAAAGTGAAGAAGATAAGATCCACTTTGAAGTTCAGCCTTCTACTTTTGTCAAAAACTGTGCAATCCGTGCAGCCCACCACTTCAGGTAGCAGTAGTCATGGCTCCCTTTTCTTTCGCTGCATAGTATTTTCGGCTTTCTTCGAAGTACCCGTTGGGATGATTGATGAGAACATCTGGATCGCTTCCTTCATGTGTAGCTTCAAAATACTTTTTACATGCGATTTGGTAGTGATGATTTTCTGCAAGCAACAGAATCTCCTGTTTGTCTCCTTCTGAAATGCCCTGCAAAGCCTTACGCAGGTGCTCCTGCTCAAAATGACGAAAGGGGCAGCCGTGATACTCGCCGGTTTTGGGTGGGTCGCCTGTGATGATACGCATACAGTTGGGGGGTGCATAGTCCTTGCGCTTACCCTCCTTTCCGTAGTTGTGACGGATGTTGTAAGCGTATTTCTTATTAAAATCATCAACCGATATCTTCTTACAAAATTCTTGCTTCCAGAATGCGACAGCATCATCAAGTTGCAGACCAATCCCCTTAAGAAACAGTCCGTATTGCTGTCGGCCTGCAAACTTCAGATGATGATTGAGCTTGAGTCCTTTGTGTAGTGAGCGCATACAAAGCGGCATGGACGTAACAGCAAGAGTATCAATCATGTCGGGTCTAATGGTATTTCCCGATCCGGGAACAGGGGTAACAGAGTAATCTGCGTCGATGTGGTGCTTGGCAAGGTTCGATAACACGGGCGCAAGGCGTTCATCCTTGCTTATTAGAGAGCGACTGTACTTTCGGAACGCTCCTGATAACTCTCTCGATAACTACAACATTGTCTGTGAGAAACAGCTGCGAGTAGATACTCTAATATAATGATGTTGTACATTGGTACGAAAGGCAGCAAACAAAATGGACACCACGTGCTCAAATGAAACGTAAGCAGTGCCAGCTTCAAGATATACTCGTCGACTAGCAACAAGATCTAGTGCCTCCGTAAAAGGAACCTTAAAATAAGCTGGCAACGGTTGACCTCTAACCTTGAGGTCGTAAGCGTCCCTTACGGCTTTTAACTTGCTCTGCCTTACTTCAATTTCCTTCAACGTCGCCTGAACCACACTACTCAATCAACTCCTAGACCACTCAATAAGCTGAAAATTCGCACTCACTTCTTCGTACGATAGTCCGTTTTGCTTCATAAATTGAATCTTTTCCTCCCTCGTCAGTTTATCCAAGCGATATCTGCACAAATTCGATATCATTTTACAGTCAACAAAGGTTTCAAACATACTTGATCCAGCTAAAAGTGTGAGTCTACCGAAAAAGCGCGCTCTCTTGTGTCAGAAACCAACGGCGTAGTTCCTCCGTCTGACAAAAGGCCATGCGCAAAAAAAAGTGCGACAGCACGTCCTTTGTTGTGTCATCCTCGGCCTGGCCCGTACGCCTGGAAGCAGTCGAGCGCAGAGGCATGTATTTGTTAAGCGTCTTTTCCAACCTAATTTCGCGGTCTTTCATCTGCATGCTGCGCAAGCGATAATTTTCTACGGCCTTGAGCACGTGGAGTCTGTCAATAGCAAACTCTTCAAACTGCTCGAGCGACACCTCAACTAGAGGCGCTTCTTTGTAAAATGACAGCATCGAGACTCCGTGGTGAGGGGTTTGCTCGCGCCGCCGACTATTGCCGACATTCTGCATTGCGTTCTACTAGATAACAAAAAACTTTGTTTGGGAAGCTTTCCCGCCATATGTGACTCAAAATGTTGATGTGGACCACATCAAGCATTATGGATGTTGAAGTAATAGACCATCACTCCCATTCCGCAACGGACGCCAAAGGCAACCATGGCAACAGTGACCTCTGTAGCAGACCTTCACGATGTCGATCTCCGCAAAGTAGTTCAAGATAAAGTTTTGAATCAAATGATCAAACATGTGACCCAACTCACTCGAGGATGGGTCGTAATGGTCGTTGACGACGAGGCTACACGTTGTTTGACGCCGGTTGCGCGCATGAGTGATCTCACGGACTGCGGTGTGTCGCTGTTGGAGCGCTTAGAACTTCAGCGCCAGCCATTTCCAGAGATGAATGTTGTGTACCTTATAGCCCCTACGGTGCAAAACGTCCGTTGCATGGCAAAAGACTTTGAAGATCCTAACAAGCCGACTTATAACGAAGTGTATCTATATTTTCTGCATCATGCGGACGAAGACATACTCAATGAGCTAAAGAAATCTCCGCCTGCTTTGCTACAGCGTCTTAAGACTCTGCAAGAAGTGAATATAGATTTTCTTGCACTTGAGAAATGTGCATTCTCTTTTGGGATACCCGAAGCGTTCCATACACTGTATTCACCGACTGTAAAGGAGTCAGAGTGTGAGGAGCTTATGCAGCTGATCAGCAATAAATTAGTATCGGTTTGCGCAACTCTTGAAGAGTATCCGTATGTGAGGTACCAAGCTGGACATACTCGCATGGAGATGCTGGCACAAATGTTTCAGAATAAGATGAATGATTACTTGGCGCAGAATTCAACTTTTTCGTACGCTCCAAAAAGGGGAACGCTTTTATTTTTTGATCGTGGTCAAGACATGGTAACACCCTTGATGCACGAGAGTACATTTCAGGCGATGACGTACGACTTGTTGGACGTAAAGGGTGATCAGATCTCATATGAAGCGGAAACAAATTCTGGTACGACGGCTAAGACAGCATTTTTAAATGAGAATGACAAGCAGTGGGTGGAATTTCGGCACACGCATATCGCCAGAGTCAGCACAGAGATTGGCAAACGGATGACAGCATTGTCGGTGTCCAATGCAGGTACATCTCTTGGCCGCGGCAAAAGCACGGATCTTCATGCCATGGCAGCCGGATTACGTGAGTTGCCTGAATACCGCGAGATGTTGGGCAAATTATCGCAGCATCTGTTCTTGGCGGGGAAAGCTATGGATATTTTTACCGCGACAGCTTTGCTTGGTGCATCTAATATTGAGCAGACCCTAGCAACAGGTGTGGATGAGTCAGGAAAGAAGTTAAAACATGCTACGATTGCGAAACAGCTAGAAGATTTGTTCAAGGACCCGAAACTGATCGAGACAGATCGCTTCCGTGTTGCCGCTGTGTTTGCCTTAACACAAGACACTATGAAGGAAGCTGAGCGCAGTAAGATTATGCTAGCGGCAAGGCTTTCCAAGAATCAAGAGACCATTCTCGAAAATATGTCATTAGTGGCCGGCTCGTCGCTGTACAAGATCCATGGCAATTCGCATATATCGAGCGAAGAGTTGAAGCTGGCCTCAAAGAAGGCTGAGGCAGTGGAATATTCAAACGCACGTTACGACCCAAAGATCAAAGCCATCGTAATGCGTGCACTAAAGCGTACTCTTAGTGAAACTGAGTATCCTTATCTAATCACCCCGCCTCCTCAAAGCCCGACGGCCGATGACTCAAAGAAATCTGGACCAGTCTCCTTACGAAAGTACGTGCGACAGACTTTTTGCGATATTGCTGCGCTATTAACGCGTCTTGATGCAGAAAAAACTTTGGAAAGTTAAAGCCGCAGGAGATAACACCAGTTTGTGAAACTCGAAACATGTTAGGATCAAGCATAAGTCTAACATTTGATCTATTTATATCACGTAGGACAACGAGCTTTTTGTGGGTGAAAAAATGGTTGTCTTTATATGCGGGGGAGGCACATATTCCGAGGTAGTGTCCTCTTTTGTGTATTTGCTGTTGCTTTTCTAAAATTTCGTCGCAGCTTCGCAGCATTTACGAAGCTCGCAGTGAAGAAAAGCGCGACGTATTTTTGGGGACGACGTCATTTCTCGCTCCTCCCGTCTTTATTGAGCTTATTGCGACGCTTAAAGAGACCAGTCCCACTTCTTCAAAACATTCAGTTAGGTCTGTCTGCCATCGCACACTGTAGAAATGTGCTGGAAGAATTCTAACGTTTTTGATTGTCCGAAAAAAGCAGTGGCCAAGGCGCTGAGGTGGCGCCGCTCACAAGTGGTGAAATTCACCTCCAACTTCAAACACAACAGAGGGAAAAGACAAACGCCTTTTAGTGCAAGCCGAACTTAACATGAACACATAATAAAAAAGCAGTCGCTCGAAAATTGCTCGTTAGATTGAAGAAGTGCGACATTGGGCACCGTCAATGATCACATTTGGCTCCCGTATTTTCGAAAAGGGTACATCGAGAAGGGCGTTTTTGTTCAATGAGCTCCGAAACCTTACTGTTGTTGTACTTCAGCTCCGCAACGCGAAGAGCAGGAAGCATATTTTGATTTATAGGTCAATCAGAGCATCTGTCACAACAGCATCTCAATTTCTGGGATTATTTTCATGTAAAACATGTACGCTAGTTCGTAAGACTTTTTAAAGCGCAGAGTGAGAGCTTCTCAATGCAAGCTTGCAACCAAAGAGGTATCACAAGTAGGTTTAGCTAAACATGAAGCAATTTTAATTCTTCCCTTTCTTGCTGCGCTTCTGAAACGTTGGCGTCGTCTTTGACGTCATCTTCGCAACATGGTCGTTCAAAGAGTTTGAGCTCTGATTTACGCTAGCTGTTTTCTTCACGAGCTTAGGCTTAGTGTTAGGGCTGCTCTTGCGAGCCCCACAGCACAAGCCACACGTAAGCACGCAAAGCGTGGTGGTGAGAAGCCACCACATTAGACGCAGTGCGAGACGGACCGGAAACGAAGCCAGCGGGACTGCCAAGAGAATCAAAATTCCATCGATAATCTTTTGTGCGTATTGCGCCACGTAATCATTCTGCTCCAAAATCTCAATTGATTCGATACGCATTCGCTTGGCACGACTCAACGCTTCACGAGAGTACATAAGAACAACCTTTTGAGTCTTGGCAGCTTCATTCTTTAGCACTGTAAGATACTTCTCCGCATGTGGGTGCACGGTCTCGTGTACATCGATAAGAATCGGATCCAAGGTCCCCGCCAGATTCTCCTGGTAAAACTTACTCGACGTATCCCACGCCGCATTCTTCGCCGTTTCGATATGACCCTGGACGTGCTCCAACGTGTCCGTTTGCTCATTCAGCTTCTGCTGGGCAAAATCTGCGATCTCCTCTGCCAGGACGAGCGCATCATCATAGTACGACGACAACAGCGAGGCCATAGAGAGCTCAACGGACTTGTTTTCGCCAAGATCTTTAAGCAGCGCTTTGTTTTTTTTCTCCATGTTACTGTAGCTTTTCTCCAGCTGCGCAACCCTACTGGTTTGATGGGCCAACTCAGCCATTGCCGCCTTAAGTTCTGCATTCATTTCAGCAACGAGAGCTCGTTCGTTAGCAAGAGACGTTTCTAATTCCTTAACGTCATCGTCAAGCGAGGAAACACGCTTAAATTCAGTATTGAATTTGTCTTCCCTACTCGTGAGCTCCGCTTTGGCAGTTTTTAAGGCCTCTTCTCGGCTTTCGACTTCATTTTGAAGTGCGGCAATCTCTGTTTGAAGTTTCGTGACAATTATCTCATGCTCCTGGGCTACATCGGCCAGCAGCTGAATTTTCTCCTTGTCTTGAGCGTCCACTTGACGCTGTAATTTATCGTTAGATTGCTTAAGATCCTCAATTTTAAGCTCATATGAGGCTACGACTGACGGCGCAATGCACGCTGCACTCTCTTTATCCGCCGAGACGCCTTCCACGCCAGCGTATACGGCCAATGCCGCACTGAACAGCGTCCAGTGGGCAATACGCATGATACTCGCGATGGTCGTGAGGGATCTTGCTAAGAAAATGTGGCGTTGTGGTCGTTACTTTGAGACAATACAGCGAAGTGATGTCATTGGAGAAGAAACGAAGGGGTTTATCCTATAAGAGGGATCACACAGAAAAACGTTTTTTTGTCTCCTTAATATTA